TCAGTGTCACCTACTTTGGTGCTGGACAAGAGCACACTCGTCCTGCAGGTGGAGTTGACGCAGGGGTCAAGCAAATGCGGTCATATAAATCAACGGTTATTTTTTCCTAATTTTTTAATTGCTTGAATTTCTTTTTTGATGTGTAATTTGATTTTAGATAATGTTATTTAAATTTGCTTTGTTCTTTTAAGCTATTTATCTGATTAAACTTGTATTAAAAATAGTCTAGTGGCTGTATTTTTAAGGCTAAAGTTTTTTAATTTGCTATAAATGCGAAGTATTTGAGTTATTCTTACGTTGAAGAAGCTTCTTTAATATCTATTGTCTCTTTTCTTTGACGAGTACTTTTGTATTTCTTAAATACCCTTAATGGGTTTTATGAATTTATTTAGAATTTGGCCTTTTGGAATGGCCAGTGGGTAAGCTAGCCGCCGAAATTTGTGTGACCACTGAATTTGTTGCAAGCGACACTGGCAGCGAAGTAAACAAGGTGCCACTATGGTTAGGCCTTAAGTCCTGTTATGAAAACATCGCAATTTGCAAAGCCGTAATGGAATGCATTGATTCTATATGTTAATTACTTCCCTTTGACAACTCGAGCACCACATTCCAAACAGGTTCTTTACTTACTTTTTGCTACATCTACCTTGTGCCACTTTATTTGGCTGTCGAGTGCTTTATGGCTTTTTTTCAAGGCATAATTTACGAATCAGGGCCATGAATTTGAAAGTGCTAACCGCAAGTCTAGGAGTCTCTGATGCCCTTTCTCTTGTCTTAGCAAACTCCACCTCATCAAGCTCTGACCGCCTTTACTAAATTTTTATTAGGATTTTTTTCTGAAGACAAGCAACCTGGTTACACGTCGAATTGATTATTTTGCTTGATATTATTATTTAATAGTTGTACTTAATAATGTTAAGTAACGTGTATATTCTTATTTTCGTTTAGCCTTAAAGCCAATAAAACAATGCGCTTCGATGTGTTATGCTCCATAATGACCAAGGCGTTTTTATGGAATTTTTCGAATGTCTAGGTACTTAAATATTACTGAGGGCATACCGTAATCGTTATTATGTAAACTTAACGCAGCGCAGATTTTAGTGACAACAAGTCAGGCGTTGTTCTGCTTTAGTTAGTTAGACTTCTCATACCAACAGCTACTTTGTTGTTTAAGCTCAGACATTATCCTCATGCCGCAGTACGGTTCTATAAGTTGTCATAACCTGAAAGAGACCCTCTGTCAGTAATAAATGACACTGGGAGCGAAAGAACCTAGAAACTTGACCAACGCCAGTTAATCTCGGCGGATATTAACAAGGTGAGGCCATTTTTTGCTCGGCTAGACTTTTATTACCGCTGAATTGCTCTTCCATAACGCACCGCTTTGTACAAAATGTGGTGTCAAATGGAAACATTTTTCTATGCCGTCTTAGCTAGTGCCTTCTAAAAGGAAACTCTTTAACTTTCAACACCATTGCTAGGCGCTTATCTGTGCAAATTGTTTTTTTTTTGGAAATAACAGTTTGGGATATTAACTCTGTGGAGAATGATAATTTTCTCTGCCTTTTACAGGTCCTCATCTCTTTTGCCCTTTATTTCTGTGTAATTTTTAATTTCGATAGAAGTTTGATTACTTTAGGAGGTTTTCCAGATTTCTGACGAATGACACACACAACACATGGTCTACATCTCCCTCACAAGCAATCCGGTAGCGATTTCACATTTCAATAAAACCTAAAAATAGTGGCCTAATAAAGGCCACATTTTTATTCACAGTGGTTTCACTTTACCGCAAAACCAGCACAAGGAGCCCTCCTTAGGAGTCTAACCTCAATTCTTTAAACAACAATGAGGGTAACTTGCTCTTAGTGTCTCTTTTAAATTAGAAATCAAGTTAAATGGCAAAAAGTCCATTACTCCTACTTTTTTTGTAATTGATATCGTAAGGCGTGAAAATGGGCAAAACACGTAATGTCAACATGGCGAAGGATCTGGCGCCCATTGAAATTGCCCGAAGACCGGATCGTTCCGTAGACGTGCGACATTTGTGACCCTGTTGGCCTTCTACCAAAAGTGAGGGTTGTACAAGCAAGGCTACTTTTACTATTTTAACTTCCACTACTTTTACTGTACCAAAGTTATAAAGCACGAGAGGTCGATGCAAGTGTGGAAATGGTGGATGTCTGAGTAGTAAACAAGTTTTTGCTTCACTTTTTTACATGTGATCAATGAATATGCAATTGAGCCCAAAGGCGCGCCTGTGTGTTTCACTTTCCTTGCTCAAATCTAAACACTGGGTGATTAGGAATCCATAAATCGGATTATTGAGCCTGTCAGTCCGATCACTTGCACTCAAAGACTCGATTAATTGTGCAACATGACCTTTGCGAAGGTCAATGAAACTCGTAATTGCGGTTGGCCTAGGTTAAGTGCAAAACAGTAAACACGATAAATCGTTGGGTCGGTTGTGTATAAAAGTGTTGCTTAAGAGGATCCCAGTCAATCGTCCAACTTGTCGCGGTATGAGGTTCTGCATCCTCTGTCTCCTCATCGTTTCTGCAACTGCAGCTCGTCCTTACAAGTACCGCAGCCTGGAGTACAAACCAGTGAAGCGGTATTCTGAGAAATATTTCCCGGTATACTTCAAATCCCCAGATCGTATTCGGGGGTCGGAAGAGAGAAAGCCTCAAGAGGTTAGCCGCCCCGTCTTGCAGCAAGAAGTCGAGGAAGGAAAAGTTGGCTATGGAAAGGTGAGCAAGGGTGGGCAAAAAGGAAAGGAGTTTGCCAATTCATTTGATTATCCCATATCCATTGAAAGAAAGGGAGTATTCACATCGGAATATTACTATAATGAGGACCATGGAGAAAAGGACGTAAAAGATACACAAGAAGATGCCAAGGATGAAGAAGAAGTTTATGAAGAAGATTATGATAATGGTACCAACGAAGAGGACGAGGATGAACATGGCGAATTTGAGCACGAAGACTATCATGAAGATGAAGAGATGGAAGAAGAGGAGACTGAGTCTGCAAATGACTATGGATTCGAGCATGACTACAAGGATGATGAATGGAATGGAGAGGAATATGAGGACGAGCATGACATGGAATATACTAACTTGGAGGAAGCAAAGAAGGAAGAGGAGGGAGCTGAAGAAGCCTACAATGGGTCAATGAGTACAGATGTCGAAAAGAACACCCAGACTATGCCTTTGAAGGGGGCTGAACAAATTTTTGCTTTTCCCGGTTGTGACGGCATCGTATGCTCCAAAGCAGGTCTCGATGGTTACGGCTGTTCCGACGCTAAATGTAAATTCGTTTGTTCTAAGACAGAGTGCTATGAATATCCAGAAGGCCCCCCCAATATTGAAGAGATCACTGAACAGGAGGAAGTTGAGGAGGTAAAAGTGGGAGAGGAAGAGGAATCAGAAGTGGTGGAAAGAGATGGAGAAGAGGAGGAAGAAGAGGATGAAAGCATGATTGAAGTAACCACAACCACTACTACGACTCCGGAGCCCGAAACACTGCCTCCTCGAAAGGAGGGGAGAAGACGCAAGGGCAGGAGTGGAAGAGGAAAGATTGGAAGAGGTTACAAGCTATGAGTCTTGCAAACTGGTATTTTCAACCAAGTTAAGAAAATAAATCGCTGTTTCTTCTACATCTTCGATTTGGCTTGTGATTTTTAGGCAGATTAAGGTGTTGGCTTAAAAAATACATGAATCGTTAATCTTTAGGGCAAACTCAATCCCGAAATTTGACTTTAAGTGAGAGTGACGTTAAGAGAAATTATACGCTTGTCACATTTCCAGTGAGTTAGCTTGCATTTTTATGGAGCTAATTAAGCAGGTTTTTGGAATAAGGACTTTACTGCCTTCGGCCTTAGGTTCAAAATTTGTGCAACAGCACCTATCAAATCCTTTAATAAGAGGCGATGACTTTGCGTAGCATTGCCTTAGTATTTCGTATGGTCGAATGTTGCTGCCTTAGTCTGTCGCGACTTTAAAGCGGAAATGAAAACATCCTGGAACCATAAAACTCTAAAACTCACTAGCAAATGGCACTTGAAATTGCTTACTATTCAAAAAGGTGTGTCAGCTAACACACATAAAATTAAGACATCTCAAGTATTTTACGCGCTTTTTGAGAACACATAAAAACGCCGCTTTAAAATGCAGGAATCGTGAGATACAGGCAACGTTGTATTCAATTTCAAATAAGAATACTGCCTCAATCATAGTGTTCCTTTTGGTAGTCATCCAGCGCTTCCTCCAAATTCTTTGGAGTCATCCCATTGTCTTGCATATAATGAGGCCAACTGACGCCCTCGGATCGCCTTCGCAAAGTAAACTCTGCAATATGTAGAAAAAAGACTAACATAACACTGCCAATTTTGTAGCAATTAGAGCCTCGAAGTGCACATAGCCTCAACATTTACGACTTGACTTGTCATGAATCCTGACTTTGTGCATGATTACAGTTCCTTTTTACGAGATATTAGTTAAGCTAACTATGAGTACTTAACAGACACCATCTTGAGCGTGTTGAGTTTCATCCTATGCATTACTCAAGAAAACTGCGAAATGCAAACGCTTACTCGTCTCACACGGACAATTGGGACACTTGAGACACATCAGGTATTGTCGCTGCACATACCGATCTAAGGGCATAAAACGTAGGTTCATACAAACTTTTATCACATGCAGACTAGCGTATGACTTCGGACTGTTCGCTTGAATCTTGGTTACAGCAGCGAGCTAGCTAAGGTGTGGCCATGATAGCGGACCTCCATAGGCCAAAATACATATTCTGCTTTAGTGTTATTTTCTCATGTGTCTCCTTCAAAGAACTTGGACGAAATACCGAATACGCGCCAGACGCTGCAGCGGTTTCACATACTGAGCTAGCTCCTGAGACGCAGGTCATTTGATTAATTAAAAGTAATGGAGAAATGATAGACAACAACAATAGCCTTCGATTCAATCGTTTCTAAGATACATGCACAAATTCTTGAAATTTAAAGTCGAGAATAAATCAGATTTGTTTATTTTTACACAAATGATAAAGCGTTTCGATCTCCTTCACTTTGCTGACTATCCAAAGGTACCAATTGCCGGATGAGCTGTGTTACTTCTGCGCCTCAGTTTATCAGCAGTTTACAAGAGAATGATTTTATTAATTAAACATAATTTTTCTTTGAGGACGTGTGTTAGTCTCCGCCTGCGTACTTTTCTTTCCCAGCATAAAAAGCGATTTTGGTGCTCAAATGGTCAATGACATTCGAACTCTAAAATGAATCGAACTACGAGAAACCACTACTGATAGTTGTTCAAGTGTACAGCTATAAGAACATCGGCATGGCATTAGATTTCGTTCGGTTTAAAAAAAGCATTTGCATTCACAAATAGTTTCCTTAATTAACAGTAAAAATCACATACATAGGTCTTGGAGTGTTCGACCCTGCCTGATTACCAAATCTGGTGGAAGTGGAGTTGACCCACACTGAGGAAGGTGGCCCCAGAGCAATAGGAGGGCAAGGAGAGGTACCGCAAAGACTGCACAGTTTGAGATCATTGCCCTTCCACCAAACGTAGAACTTCCACTTGTGACGCTCTCTGTATCCTCCTGTATATTTATACTCTGATTCTGCGATAGCTGGAAGTTGATTGGTTAGTCTGCAGCTAAAATTTTTCTACCCCCTCGCTCATTTAAAAGGGCGATTTTGAGCTTAAGGGCAACTCTGCCCCGCCTCTCCCGGAGGCAAACTGACCGAATGGGTACTGACCGCATTGTAATGCTCGATACGCAAGGTTTCGATCAGTTTTCAATTGAAGCAAACAAGATATAGCTTGTAAGGCTTTCTACAAAGGAAAAATGGAGTGGCTGTTGAAGTTTTATTTAACAAAATAAAATATTGCTCTCGAATGGAATGAAGATTGATTGGATGTGCCTTATATTTCGACACTACCTATTAACTAACATCTGCTGTTTGGAGATATTTAAGCTATTTTACCATATACCCAATTTAGCGAAAAATTTGTAAAGTGCTGTCAGATTCTAAAAATAGCTTCATTTAAAAAAGAGTAATTTTAAGTTGGATGGCTTGTTAACTTTTTCCATAACGATGCAACATGAGCTTAGTACACCATGTTGATCGCGCGTTCAAAAATAGTATTTTGAAACACCAATGCGTCCGGCTTTAGAGTGAGACAGAATGTGTATTGCAGAACCACAAAGGAGCTCGAGGCCACAGGCATGATCCAGAGGACAGGCCACGCACTAGAGGCGCAATAACACTGAAAAGTTTAGTGGTTTCCGTACGAGGGTCCTGAACTTAATAGACAATAGAGGTGTTGCACAACCCGCCCCCTTCCAAACACTACAACGTAGCCTGTTCTGTAAACCAGTTGCCACCACCTCAACCAGGTCAGTCATCAACTAACCTCGAAAAAAGGATTATAAAGTATTTAATTGCACTGGTAATGTTCCCGTCTTGGCAGTTACACTGGACTTCAGAGCACACTAAAACAAGAGGGAATTTTCAGTCCATCACACTTGCCTATTGCACCCCACTACATTTATCCGAGCTCTACACACCTTGGAGAGGGGCCAAGGCGGTGTCGCGTACTCAACCCCTTGACACACTCGTACGAATCACATGGACACATTGTAAAGAACTTTCTCAGGTTATTCGAGGTTAAAGTCACTTTAGCTGTTAATGGCTTTCTCTCGGGACACGTACTGAGGCAGTATGGGGAGCTAGATGACATTTCTGACCCACTGTTAAAGGTCACCGTCGATTCGTCCATCCGGTTGAATTGTCCTTTTGTTCCCGGCAAGTGAATCATGAATAGTATAAATTGAGATGGCTGATGGTAGGGCATGGGTTGACTTCTTGATGCAGAAGAGCTGTGGATTGCTGGTGCAGTCAACAGGTTATGTAACTTCAGAAGAATGTCTTATACGCTAGGCCAACAAGCCGATAAGGACAATTTTGACCTTAATTTTCTAATATCTAGGCAAAAAAAAACTATTACCCTTTTGTATCTGCTGGCTAGCATGCTGTGGTGGCTAGAAATGTGTAAAACGGATGCGGTTGTTAATGTGTACACATTGTCAAGCAGAAGCTATCAACAGGGCTATTCTGGTGCTATTTCCTACTATAATTGTTCCTTTTCCATTATTTCATAAAATCCTGACACAACGTTTCACTGCGTCTGGTATGCACATCGAGAAGGTGCGAAAGACTCGCGAAGAGCGTCCACAGAAGCTGCCTTGTAAAGCACCCAGCCCCCTTGTTTTACACAAAGTCATCTCGGTAATTTTGCTCAAAGATGCGGCATCACATTTAAGAAACTGCCCAGTTTTGGCAGTTTGGTAAAGAACACGATCAACATACCAGTAGCATTTAAATTAGTTGAAGTAAGTCATGAATGCCCAGTTAATATGTTTGAAAGGAAGTGGAAAGGGCTAGCCGAGGTGGTTGATGCATTAATGATTTCCATCTCTCCGTCCCAACAGCCAGTAAGACGCATCAGAGGTCAGTTCGCTGACCGACCGATTTGCGGTCGAAAATAAATTTTGCATTTTAATATTAGACAAGTGAAATGCATCAGGGTTTGTTAGGGGAGAAAAGCACCGGCTACCCATTGCTCGTTGCCCACCTCGAAGGCACAAATTACTCCACTGTCTTTGGCGTGGGTGCACAGTGCCGGTGGTGCTCATTGAATTGACAACATGTTGCGAGTTCAATGTGTGTGGGAAGGCTTCTGATTTGGAATAAGAAGGTAGTGGATGTTATCTTTCCCTCAAAGCGTTTCTCCTCGCAAGCTGATTCCAAATATGGACATCCTGTGCCTTCATTCACTTTTAGAAATTGTTATTTTAAGTTTACACCAAAGTGGTGAAAGTGGAGAAGCATTCTATGTCCAACATTAATTTGCTAAGCATTACACTTTTGTCCCTCAATTCGGGATCGAGGAGGATTTCGATGCATGGTGGTAGAGTTTCAAAAGATGGCAACAAATGCGAATCCTCTCACCATTTCAGCCCCCAGACGGATTATTTATCTGCTGGCCATTAATTGCCCAAAAATGCGCAAAGCGACACCTGATCCCCATTAATATGCAAAATAGTTGGTGTTCAAAGCATTTGCAGTTTTTGTGTTGTTTTTTTCTCTTTTACATTTAGAAGAAGATCAATTGTGCGGGACCACAATGCCATTCGGATTAGGAGTATTTCGTACTGAAGGAAAAAACGCGTTGAAAGCAAATGACACTTCAAAGTACTGATGTGGTTGAGTCTTTCCTCGCAACAGACGGGCACATGGGCCTATTTTTGGGGCCTGATGGAGGTACGGTGAGGGTGACTTCATGAGACTTTTCACCAAAAATTAAAAAGCACAAGCAACCAAAGTGTCACTAGTTAATTTAAAAGGTCGGATTGTTGTAAGTATTTTTAGTGAGTGTGCAGTTCACACGACCGATAGCCCAATGCGGCAATCCACTCAACTGACTGTAACTTTTTTCTCTTCTAAATGCATTTATTATAAGCTGCTTTGCCATTTACGTACAAACTTACATATGGGTGAGGAGTTATCCCGCTT